ACCTAGGCAATTCATGAATGTTTGTTTCTGGAGTTTTGGGTCAGATTCCAATATTCTGAATTAGCCCAACACTTAGTAAATGCTGTCACCTCCCAGGTAAGGAGGTAAGAGTTACTTGTACAGGTAAGGACTCCCTATCCTGATCCACTCCAGAGCATCCTATCTGTTCTCTGGCATCATTTCATCCCCTGTGGGTTAGGCATGCCCCTATTGCTCTCATTGGTGAGGAGGGGTTGCCATGGGCTGCCCTCCTGGGAGTTGGGCCAATTCTAGGCCCTGTGGCTTGCCAAATAGGCTGCTGCTGCTGCTCCTCTACTCCTCCTCCTCCTCCTCCTCCTAATGACCAGGCAGTCAGAGAAGAGGTGGGCATAGAGTGGTGGCTGGAGGAGGCTGGAAGCATGTGAGGCTGGACATTCAGTAAGACACACTAACTTTGCCTTTGGTCACCACACAGAAGACTTTGGGATGAGCCTACCCTAGGGTTCCCAAATAAGGGAGTGTATGGGTAAAGAAGCTGCTTTGAAGGGCAGGAAGTGAGGAGGTAGACCCTCACAGGACATTGCTCCCTTTCGGTCTAGAGCAATGGTTCTCAACCTTCCTACCTCCCTTTAATACAGTTCCTCATGTTCTGGTGACCCCCGACCATAACATTATTTTCATTGCTACTTCTTAACTGTCATTTTGCTACTGTTATGAATCGGGCAACCCCTGTGAAAGGGTTGTTCAACCCCCAAACCCACAGATTGAGAACCGCTGGTCTAGAGGAAGGGCAATAACGTCTAGAGCAGGATTGACCTCTGGGAAGAGATCTGAGTGAAGAGTCAGGGCAGGGGAACTAGAAGTATTTGTAGTCTCCTATGTATAGCAGAGGAACCCTGATGGCGTAGTGGTTATAAGTTGGGCTGAGATTTGCAAAGTCGGCAGTTCGAAACCACCAGCAGTTCCCAGGGAGAACGCCGGGGCTCTACTTTGATAACCAGTTACAGTCTCGAAAACTCACAGAGGCAGTTCTATCCTGTCTTATAGGGTTGCTATAAGTCAGCATTGACTTGATGGCAGTGAGTTTGGGTTTGGTGCATAGCAGAGAAGAAGGCGGCTGAGATTCTCCAGCCCTATATGACGTGGGAGTGTAGGCTGCCGTTAGGCCCCACTTAATACCCATTCTGACTCCTCCCTTTTCCCCACCTGGAATCTTGTTGGGAATGTTGGACCCCACACAGCCCTATTGAACTCGGAGATGGAGCTAAGCAGTCTTTTGCCACATCCGAGATAAAATGCGAGGGGAGGCCAGACCGAAAAAACAAACTCATTTCCACCAGCATATGGCTTCCAAGACAGTCGGAGAGTAGATAGCCTCATCTTTTCCCTCAGAGAGGCTGGAGGTTTCAAAGTGCTGATCTTTTGGATCCCGGCCCAACTTAAAACTTCACCAGGGCTGCTGTGGGGAGGCAACCACCTTCAATTTCTTTAGCCTGGGCGGCAGGGAGTGATGTCAGCCTTGATGCCCATTTCCCAGCTTTCCTGCCTGTTTCCTCTAGGCATCTTGGGCCAGCAAAGATGGCTTTGTAGGGGGTGGGGGCTGGGGAGCTGTCTTGGGACAGACCTTGGAATGAGCAGACTTGCTCATTTTTCCTTTTATTTTCAAAAATGTTTATAATTAGTTTTGTCATAGTAATAGGATCACATTGTTGTCAGATAACTCTGTTAGCATAGATTCCTCAAACCCTTTACCCAGTTTCCCCAAATGGTAACATTTGCGAAACTATAGTAAAGTATCAGAGCCAGGATATTAACATTGATACAATAAAGATACAAAATATTTTCACCTCTGTAAGGCTCCTTCTTGTTACCCTTTGTAGACATACCCATTTGCCTCCCAAACCACAGCCCACCCCCCCACGTTTGATCACCTTTCAATGTCTAATCTGTCTTCTATTAAACTTTTTTTACTTCAGATATGTTGTATAAATGGGATCATCTATGTAAGCATTTAGAATTGGCTTTTTATCCCTTGCCACATCCTCTGGTGATTCACTCAGGTTGTTGCGCCTAAAGTTTGTCCTTTTTACGAGTGGTAGGTGTGTGTCAGTTGTTTATTACTATTTAACCATTGAAAGACAGCTAGATTGTTTACATTTTTTGGTTGTTATGAATGAAACTTACTACGAACATTTTTGTGCAAGTTTTTGTGCATAGTTTTAATTTCTCTGGGATATATGCCCGGGAATGCAATATGCTGGGTTGGATGGTAGTTGCATGTTTAGTTTTAAAAGAATTTGCCAAACTGTTCTCCAGTGTGACTACTGCCTTACTTCCCTACCAGCAGTGTGTCAGAGATCCAGTTCTTTTGCGTTCTTGCCTTCATCTGGTGTATTTTTTATTCTTACAGACCTTACATAGGTTTAACTTACATTTCCCTTAAGGATAATGATATTAAAAAAGGAAAAGATAATGGTATTGAACTTCTTTTCAAGTACTCATGCCATCTTCATTGAGCAAGTCTGTTCATTTCTTTTGCCCATTTTGTAATTGAATCTTTTTTAACAGTTGAACTTTTAAGACTTCTTTTTACAACCTAGTTACTAGTCATTTCTTACATATGTGGTGTGCAAATATTTTCTTTCAGTACTTTGTCATTTTATTCTGTTATCAGCCTCTCATAGCACAAGCATTTTTACTGCTGAGGAGATCCAACTTATCAGGTTTTTTTAATTTAGAGACTGTGCTTCTGCTGTCAAATGTAAGAGTTCTTTGTCTAGCCCTTTCCCCCAAAGTTTTTCTTATTTGTATTTTTCAAGAAGTTTCATAGTTTTGCTTTTCATTTTGAATTCTGTTATCCATTTTGAGTAATTTCTGTATCAGAAGTGAGATTTAGGTCAAAGTTTGTTTGGGGCCTTGGATGTTTGAAAAGGTCACCATTTCTCTTTTGACTTGCTATTTTACACCTGTCAAAACCCACATGGTCGGCAGTTAGCCACCAGCAGCTCTGCAGGAGAAAGACTGACTTCCTACTCCCCTAAACAGTTATAGTCTAGAAAACCCACAGGGGACAGCTGTGAGTCAGCAGTGACACGATGGCAGTGAGTCTGATTTGGTCAAAAGTCAGTTGGACAAATTTGTGTGAGTATACGTGTGGGTTCTCGGTTCTGTTTATTGATCTGTGTGTCGATTCCTTTGCCAGTACCACATTGTCTTGATTACTGTAGCTACATAATATGTCTTGAAACCCAACACTGTTGCTACAGACCTGACCCAGCAGGTCTGAGAGGAGCTTATATCGATTGGCAAGTTCCTCTCCTACCGCAAGTGTCTCCATCTGGGCGTCTCCTTGCCTGCTGGCGATGCCTGCGCTCAGGCCAGATGGAGCTGCTTTCTGTGAAGTCAAGCCCCTGAGCCTTCTGGAGCCATCATTGGTCCCTGCTTTTTTTTTTTTCCCGCTTGCCAGGTGGGACAGGGTCTGGAGAAGGCAGAAGAGGGACCAGGAGTCAAGACTGCCACCCTCTGAGGGTGACCATCTTGGCTCCTCTGGGTGTGCTTTGTGCCTCCCTTTGTTCCTTTATACTGTCTTCCTTTCCTCCTCCCTCCCTGGACTCCAAGAGGCCCCGCTGGCTAGAGTGAAGTGAACAAGTGAACCCAGCCCTCTGGGAAGGACACCTCCCAGTGGACCTCCCAAAGTGCTCCTTCTTGTGTGAAGCTGGGCGGCTCTCAGACCCTGGTTTTCTAGGACTGCCTAATTGGCTACCTTACTCTGTGCACTCAGGTGGCAGTATAGGAAGCCCGATAACCTGCACCCCGACTGCTGCGGCATCTGCAGGTGGGGAGGAGTGAAGAGGTATCACTCTAGGTAGCGTTCACTCTAGGTAGACTGGGCATCCATCCATAAGTGAGTCCTCAGGCCCAAGAGTGGCCCTGGGTTGAGTCATAGTGTGAGCAATGCCAGTAATGGTGGCAGCCGCTCCTGCAGGTGGGGTCCAGCCTTTGCCTGGGCACATGACCCTGGGTGGCCCTGTTGCTTCCTGTCCTTCATTGAAATGGGTGAGTGAATGCACAAACACATGGTGAGAAGTTCCTGCTACTGCAATATACTGTGGTGCTCGTGAACATCCACCTGCACCAGTGCTAGGCCCTGTCTGCTCTGCTGGTTGGTTGCAAATATGTGCCTTGCTGTTCTTGGGCCCATGTCCCGTAGTTGCCTCTCCCTGACTCTCCCTGTTGTTGCCTGTTTGGGCCTCTGCTGTCCACCTCTGAGTGTGCCTGCAGTGACCAGACGCTGGGTCTTCCTGAGCTCCTCAGAATGCTAGGGCATCATCTCAGTCCTCTTCTCTAAGCTCAGCCCCAAGGAAGGGGCTACAGCTTTTTGGCTACTGTAGGGGAGAGGTCAGCACAAGGAGGGAGAGGACCAGGCCGCTCCCAAGCTACACTCACTCCTCAGTGTCAGCCACCCCCACCCCCACCCCCACCCCAAGCCCTTGACCCACCTAGGTCTATTCTTCCTGGCTCCCTAGTGACACTCCATCCCCCTTGCCCTGACCTCTCCCCTCTTCTAGCCCGGGCTTTCTAACAGGAGTTTCTCCCAGTCCTGCCCCACTTGGTTCTCAGATTCTGCCGAGGGAGACCAGAATTTTCTCTTGCCTTTTTGTGCATATCAGGTGAACCCGTGGGAAGGCCTTTGTGTAGGAGGGAGTGCAGAAAGTATTGAGACTTAGAACTCCTGTTTCCAAGGTTCTTCTTAGAGCACAAGGTAGCAGAGCATGGCCCAGAAAGGGTTAATGCTCCATTCTGGGCTAGACGGCCATGCTGGCAGTACACCCCCGGTTCCTAGGCTTCCTTGATCCCTTGAACAGGGCCCTGCGATCCTTGTTTGCCTGCCTTGGCCCCAGATTGGAGAGCCGCAGTTCCTGGCACAGGAATGGGTTGTGCTTGGCCACTGTTAGTGGCTCCACCCTCTGAAAGGTGCTGGGTAAGGTGGCAGCTCACCATGTAAAGGTTGGACTGCCGTGTAGCCTCAACCTCCTGGCCATTGTTGCATTTTGGCTAAGGGCCCTTCCCCTCCTCTCTCAGCAGCCAGAGCAACAGAGTCCCAGATAAACACCATCAAGGGCAGCTACTTCCCCACACAGACCCAGCCTTGGGGCTGCTCCGTGGCCCATGAACCCCATGAACCCCATGAAACCCGCGTTCCCCCTGACGCCGCATGGGTGAGGAACAGCTGGCTATCCGGGGTGGTGGGTTGGTGGTGGGGGGCTCTGAGTGGGGAGGTGCTGCTCTGCCCTGTGCATCCTGCCTCCTCACTGTCAATTGGGCTTGAGGCCTCACCCACATCTCTTTCTGCAGTGATGGTTCATTTGCATATGAGTCCGTGCCTTGGCAACAAAGTGCCAACCAGCCTGCAGGGTCGCTCTCGGTGGTAACAACCGTGTGGGGAGTCAGCAACACATCCCAGAGTCAGGTAAGCACCTGTCCTTAGGAGCCTGCCCCCACCCCAATGCAACAGCCTGTAGAGAAGGGGGGGGGGGGGGGGGGGGGGGGGGGGGGGCGGAGACTGAAACTGAAGATTCCGCTTCCTGAAACTGAGGTCCTGGGACTAGTCCTCTTTCAGTCCTTACATGGGACTCTTTGACCTTCTTAACTTCCAGCTGACATAGCAGTTCTTGTCCTCTCGTGCCCTTCTACCTTTCCCACCTCTTTAGTTTCTAGTACCTTACAGTTTGAAGTGAGCTACTTGGGTGGTTCTCTGCACTGTGTGTTGTTTCCTTGCAGGTCCTGGGGAGCACCATGGGCCCCGGAGGGAACCCTTCCAGCAGCTCCATGATGCCCAGCATGGCGGGCAGCAGCTCCACCCTGAACTCAGCACAGTTCCTCGGGCAGCAAGCATTTGCTGAGGGCAGCACCAACAAGGGCTATGTCCAGCAGGGGGTGTATGGCCGCGGGGGCTACCCCGGGGGCCCCAGCTTCACCACTGGGTACGCAGGGCTCTCCTCTGGCAGGTTTTAAGGAGCCATCTAGGTGCCGTGAATTTAGTGGATGTCCCAGGACTGTGTCGGCCTGACTTGCTGGCTGTTGAATCTGTCTCTATCTGGCTGTGGCAGCAACAATGAAGGGAATTTGGGAAAGTCTGGGCTTCCCATAACGTGTGCCCACACCCCCACATCCACCCTCACCTTGTGCACATGGGTCTGGCCTTTGATGGGCAGGGACCTTTTCAATCCTTTGTCTCTTACAGGTATGCGGGTGGCCCAAGTGGCCCGGGTGGCCTGGGCCTCCCTTCCCATGCGACTCGGCCCTCCACTGACTTCACTCAGGCTGCCGCTGCTGCTGCTGTGGCTGCTGCCGCGGCCACCGCCACCGCCACCGCCACAGCTACAGTGGCTGCCCTCCAAGAGAAGCAGACCCAGGAACTGAGCCAGTACGGAGCGGTGAGACGGCCCGACAGGCGCTGGGAGAGGGAGCCTTGGCAAGGCAGAAGGCTCACGTTGAGGACCCCTTCTTCTCTAAAGTCTTCAGGGACTCAGACGTAACTAGAAGTGTCCTGGGCTGAGGAAGGGGGAGCTAGTGGGCAGTGGAGGGAGGATAGGCATGGAGCTGGGAGAGGGCGCTAGACCTCCTTGCCTTAGGAGAAGCTGGTGAGAGGGGCACCGTCACAGTTGAGGGTGGGTGGCCTGTGGCCCTGTCACAAGTCCTCTCTCTTCTCTTCCCAGATGGGGGCTGGACAGCCTTTTAACAGCCAGTTTCTGCAGCATGGGAGTCCCCGGGGGCCCAGTGTGCCCCCTGGCATGAGCCCTCCCAGCATGGCAGGAGTGATGGGCCCTACTGGCCTCTCCCCCATGGGCATGAACCCCACCCGGGCAGTGGGGATGACACCCTTATATGGAGGACAGCGCCTGCCCCAGCACACACATCCTGGGCCTGCCCAGGCCCAACCTTTGCCCCGACAGGGGGTCAAAAGAGTCTACTCCGGCGAGGTGAGTATGGTTGGCAGCAGGGTGACTGTAGCACCCCCTTCAGTTGGGCAAGGTCAGGCTTCCTGTGGGCAGAGAGCAAGCCCTGCAGCATACCCCCAGGGGAGGAGCCCCTGTGGTGCTTTGGAGTTCCCAGTCCGGCAGCCCTGCTCTTGCACCTGGCATGCTGCTCTGAGAACCAGCTTCTTCCTCCTGACACCCGTTTTTTTCTTTCCCTGCCATCCCTCTGCTGCTTTTCTTTTCTCAGGTATATCCAGGGCAGCAGTACCTGCAAGGAGGCCAGTATGCACCCAGCACTGCCCAGTTTGCTCCCAATCCGGGGCAGCCCCCTGCACCCTCTCCTTACCCTGGACACAGGCTGCCCCTGCAGCAGGGCATGGGGCAGTACCTGTCAGCCCCCGGCCCCACAGCACTGCACTACAAGGTAGGAATCGCGCTCCAAGCCAGGCCTGCAGGAGGCAGAGTTAACCTTGAGACAGCGGCTCTGACTGGCTGGCTGAGGTGGGGATCGGGACCCGTATCCACATTCGGAACAGAGACAGCATATACCAGGAGCTTGACTAGCGTTCCCAACCCAGAGCATGGACAGCTACAGGGAGGGGCTTGAATGGAAGCGGAAGGACTCTTTGAGGCGGTGTGCTTCCTGGGGGAATTTGGTATGGGAGCAACAGGCAGGCACTCACGCCACTCACAGGTACTTGTTAAAGAGAGTTCTGCTTCCTCCTCCTCCTGCTCAAGAGCTAAAACCCACTGAAAGGACAGGCACACTGGGTACCCCCATCACAACCCCTGGAGAGTGTCTCCTTACACTGTTGCCATGCGCCTGAGACCCATGAGGGAAGTGCCCAAGGGCCTGCTTGTATCTCTAACTCCTTTCACTTCCCTCTCACCCTGGGAACTCTTCTATGTGGGATCCCCTCTGCTCCGTAGGTATTTTATTTATCATGAAATTAGTATGAGTTTATGGAAATTACAAAAAAAAAAAGAGCCATCAGGTCCATCTGTGAAGGTGGTCCCTCCTGGGTTGGTGTCTAGGGTAGCTTTGGGTAAAGGGGAGACCTTGGGGTGTGCTCCAGCTGTGGGCTGCACACGGTTTTCTCTCCTGCAGTCCACAGACCAGTTCAACGGGCAGAATACCAACTTCAATGGCGGGAGCTTCAGCTACAACCAGCCAAGTCTGAGTGGGGTATGGGCGGGTGGCTTGAGGGTGGGCAGAGGGAGAGGGACCACCCACTGCAGCTCTACCAGCTCTTGAGACAACAGAGACAATGCGGGGACCAGCCAGGCACCCCTGTGTTGACCATTCCCAGGGTGTCCCATACATAACACCCACCCCACCATTCTGCACTGACTGTTTTTGCTCCCCCACTTGCAGCCTGCCCGCTCCATACCCAGCTACCCCAGCTCCCCACTGCCGGGGAACCCCACGCCGCCCATGACCCCCAGTAGCAGCGTCCCCTACATGTCTCCAAGCCAGGACATCAAGTCCCCCTTCCTGCCTGACCTCAAGCCCAACGTGAGCTCCTTGCACCCTTCCCCATCTGGTGAGTCCTTCCTCAGAGCCACGCTGGGCTGGGAAGTGAGGTGGGGATTCTGTAACCCCAGAGAGAAAGTCCTGCAGGCTCCTCAGGGTGGGATGGCTGCTGGATTCCTGGACCATACACACCCTGAGAGAAGTCAGGAATTCTCTCTCTTAACGACAAATGTGAGTAGTGGGCTTTGTTACTGTTGGGTGTCAATGAGTTGATTTGACTCACAGTGACCACCCATATGACAGTAATGGCCCTGCCTTGTGTGGGTTTATGGGAGCAGATGGGTGGGTTCAAACTGCAGCCCGCTTTGTGTAGCAGCTGAGTGCTTAACACTTGTGCCAGCAGGGCTCGTAAGCTGCATACATTGTTTTTCATGGATCTCTTTAAAAGTCTGTTCTAGTATAGATCTTCACCCTAGAAAAAGACCCATATACACAGAACGTGCCATCTCATCGGAGGGTTGTATTCCCCTTAACCCTGTCCTAGTTCAGAATGGCTGCTCCGGGTAACCTTAACACTAGAAACCAAGGCCCTGAAACCCCCAATTGAGCTGTTGGGAGTTGAGTAGATGGCCTCCTAGACCCTCCTTGGGCTCTCAGTCTTAATTTCTGGTTTGAGGGCCTCTGGCCTACCATAGTGTTAGAGACATTTGCGCTAGCCCACTGAGAGCAAGATACATAGAACATGGGGTTTCAGAGACTCCGTTACAGTTGGAAGTGACTGTTGAACGAGGCCCAAGCCCATAGCATGGTTCATTCCTGCCAAGCAGCACCTGGCAGGGCAAGACTTGAGCACCCTTTGCATAGTCCCCACAGTCCGGTGGAGGCTGAACCCTAGTTTGCCCTGTTTCCTGAGTGTGAGGCATGCCACTGGTACTGGGGGTGCAGCGCCCTGAGCCAGGGCCCCCGCGTGTACTACTTTGGCGCTGGGCGGCAGTAACTCCCCCGCTCACTGTCAGTCTGGGCTCTCTGGTCTCAGGAAATGGCCCTTGTGATGAGCTACGGCTGACCTTCCCAGTGCGAGACGGGGTGGTCCTGGAGCCCTTTCGCCTGCAGCACAACCTGGCTGTAAGCAACCATGTCTTCCAGCTCCGTGACTCTGTCTACAAAACACTGATGCTGAGGTGAGGTGGTGTCCGCCAGCTAAGGTCCTCCCTGAGCCTGTATCCCGTGGGGAGAGTGTCCCCAGCCTGCTACCTCCTGTCAGGACCTGCTCCTATCTGGTTCACCAGTCCCTTCCCTCCTCCACCTCTTTCTTTACATCTCCCCCAGTTTCCTGGTCCCTCCCTCCCTCCCTGATGCAGGCCTGACTTGGAGCTGCAGTTCAAGTGCTACCACCATGAAGACCGACAAATGAACACCAATTGGCCAGCATCCGTGCAGGTCAGCGTGAATGCCACACCACTCACCATCGAGCGTGGAGACAACAAGACCTCCCACAAGCCCCTCTACTTGAAACACGTGTGCCAGCCAGGCCGGAACACCATCCAGATCACTGTCACGGCCTGCTGCTGCGTGAGTGCAGACCCCACAATGTGGCCTGTGGGGAGGCTCCCGTGGTAGGGAAAGACACTGGGCCCTTTTCATACTGCTTTTTGTTCCACACTTTAATTTCTCCTCCTGGCCCTTTATAAAGAGCTGGATGCGGTAAAATAGCCTGTGGCTCTTTTCCAGCTGGATCAAGGTAACTGATCTGCAGTTCAGGTTGGCTATGTGAGAGGCTAGGCTGTGCCTTGTACCTTAGAGAAAGCACAGTAGGAAGCCCTGAGCCCCCAGTGGTCTTGAGTCCATATTTGAAAAGGCATGTCCAGCTGCAGCAGCTAACCCTGGGGTGACTGGCTATCTGCCCCTCTAACTTCATGGAGGAGGAGAGGATCATCTGTAATCCACAACGCAAAGCTGAGCTCTTGGAGGGGGATGTCAGGCATGCTTCCATCCGCCACCTTTTTGTATCAATTCTGACATGAAATGTCCTTTCCACATCACTCTGTTTCTCTGCTGGTATTAATAATTCATTGCCACACAGAACTCAGGCACTTAAAGGGTTTTGAGGAAAGTAACCAGTTACAATTCGGTTCAGATATTCTTAGAATACAGTTCTTCAGCCAGGACAGCCTCTTCTCAGCCATACCCACAGGTAGGCCCTTCTCTGGCCTTCAGCCCCTTAGCCTGGCCTCTGTCTTGCTCAGATCAGTGCTACAGAGCTCTTTTCGCTCTGCTGATAAGTGTCCCCAGAAAGCCTCAGCACAGTGCCTCTCAGCTCTAGCTCTTTGGGAACAGGAAGCCCACCTGTCCTCTCTTGATGCTGTTTTCTGCCACGATGTCTTGGTTTCTTTCTGTCTCTAGTGCCAAGGCCCTCTTCCTCTGTCTCCTGAGTCATGGGGGTTCTTCCTTAGTGCAGGGATCCTGGCCCAAAAGACGTCCTTCCTTTCCACTTCTTGGTGGTAATCTAGTCTCCTGTTGCTCTGGGATCTGCCTTCTTTCAAACCGAATGGGGTAGAAAACAATCTAACGTTCGTTCTTGTGAGTACACCAAGCACTCTATGCATGGCCCTGAACCGCAAGGTTCTGTGTACTTTATTATGACATTTTCAGACAGCTGGCTTGTCCCTTTGGTGGTGGGATACTATTTCTGTCTCACACAGCACACTCTCCTCTTCCTTTTAGGCTCTCTTAATTACTTGCAGTGGCCACACAATGCTCATGATTGTGCCATAAATTGTGGAAGTTAGCAGGTTACAATTCAGGTGAGAAATGCGTAGGACATAGGACATGTTAACAAAGCTCTTTTAAGGCTATTAAAAAGGGCATACCACTTCACTATAAGCCTCAGCCCCAAGGTACTCACTCTCACTCTGGATTAGCAAAGACAGCTCCCTGAATCAAGTGCCAGAGGGACCCCACTCCGCTAGCCAGCTTCCTGCTCAAAGCATTCAGCTTTACTCGCTCTGTGGGCTAAGAAGTCTGCTCTTCTGCCCTGTGTTCTGGCTCCTGGTTCTGCTACTCCTCTCTTGTCAAAGTGGTCTTCCTGGGTCAAAGAGGTTCACTGTGGGGTCTCGGGGTGCAGAGGATCCACTTGAGTTCCTGCTGGTGTTGAAAGCTCCCTCCCTTCCTGCTTCTGAGTTCGCTCATTTTATACCGAGCAGGATAGCAATCATAACCCTGTTAACAGTCACCCAGAACTGAATCTTGTCAGTATCTTCCCCCACCTTATCCAGACCCAGGAAGGAAAAGTTATTTGATGGGATTGTAGAGCGTCTAGGTAGAAGCGACGCGAATAACCCAGCACACTGCAGCCGTAAATGCCTTATTTGCAGCTCACTGCCATCAAGTCACTTCAACCCCTAGCAGCCCTGTCGGACTGAGTAGAGCTCCTCCTTTGGGCTTGCAAGACTAAATCGAAGTACGAAGGCTCTTCTTTCTCCTGTGGAGCCACTAGTAGGTTCAGACCAGTGGCTTTATGGTGAGCAGCGCAGCCACCAGGGTAGAGCCATGGGGTACAGTGGGTAAGGCTTTCAAAACCCGCAGCCGCTCCATGGGCGAAAGATGAGTCTAACAGTGTGGTAATTAGGACTCAATGGCTCTTGCGTATTTGCATCATCGACCCAATCCCAAAGACTGCGGCCATGTTAAGTAATTCACTGTACTACTGGTAAAGGGGAACCACTGCTCACCTAGATGATAAGGAAGTCTGGAGTCTACTCTGACTGCGGCATTGAGGGGGCCCTTCGGAATTTCAGCTCAGAAATGGGCTGGGGTGTATGTCTTGTTGGAAGGTGAGACGGAGGAAGTAGTTGAACACATGAGGATATATGTCCTACATGGTAAATGAACTGGCCCCTGGACCTGGAATAGGTCAGTCTGAAAGGGTAGCCTGACCCTAGGGAGAGCCAGAACCTTGGAGGACAGAGTAGAATTTACCTGACAACCTGTTGCCCTTTTTGCAGTCCCACCTGTTCGTGCTACAGCTGGTACACCGCCCGTCCGTCCGCTCCGTGCTGCAGGGCCTTATCAAGAAGCGTCTCCTGCCGGCTGAGCACTGCGTCACCAAGAGTGAGTATCAGACCACCCTCATCAGCGCCGACTCCTTTCACAGATGGTTCACCCAAGTGGGCACTCGTTAACTGCAGTCGTGCATGTTCCTGGCGCCCGGAAGCATGAGGAGGAACACAGGGTGGTGTCCTGGCGGCCGGTCACCGTGTCTCAAGAGTTTTCCTTGACCTTCCTCCCTGTTTGCCCAGTAAAGCGCAACTTCAGCAGTGGCACCATCCCAGGTACCCCTGGGCCCAATGGAGAAGACGGGGTGGAGCAGACAGCCATTAAGGTGTCCCTGAAGTGCCCCATCACCTTCCGCAGGATCCAGCTGCCTGCCCGTGGCCATGACTGTCGGCACATACAGGTGGGTGCCACAGAAGCCTTGTGAAAGCAGTTGAAGCTAATGTATCAGCCCTGTCTTCGGGGGAGGGGAGTGGATTCTGAGCTTCTTGCCTTCTGTTTGGGACCTAGGGAGGAGGGCCACCATGTGATGGGATGAGCCAGGTGGGACTGGCTCATTCAGCCTTCTCTTCAGCCTGGGCTGCTTGTTTTAAATCCACCTGTTTCATTTGCTATGCTATCCATGTGGTTCTGATTTTCAGAAGTACAAAGCGTACACACTAAGTGAAGTTCTCTTGCTCCAGACCTCGGGAGCATCACTGAGCATATAGAGCTATCCCGTGTACGTTTTAAGTTACCAAACTACCCCCTTCCCTTTGGTATTATGTAAGTGGCAGCACATTAGACACACCCTTCTGTGCCATAATTCTCTCTGAACAAGATGCCTCAGAGCTGGTCGCACTCCAGCACACGGCTGGCCCTTTTGCTTGGCTGGTGGTACTTGTGGTGAGGATGCCCACTGGAGATTTTAGCATCACTGGTTATGGCTGCAGGGTGGTTTCCAGTCTTTATGAAACTCGTGCTGCTGGGGAAAGCCTGAGGCATGTCTTCTCAGACATACGTGTGAATAAGTCACATGTTCTTCAGAATGGTGGTGTTAGGTCGAAGGATGTGCCTCGTGGCCAGGCCACCCCATGAAGGCTGCCCAGGCCCTGTAGGGTTAGCTCTGCTGTTCTGCTGTTGGAAGTGGACCTGCCACCATGCCTTCACCTTACCTCTTTGCAGTGTTTCGATCTGGAGTCGTACCTGCAGCTCAACTGTGAGCGGGGGACTTGGAGGTGCCCCGTCTGCAAGTGAGTGACTCAGATGATGCCAAGTGGTTTGGGACCTGGGAGTGGGCAGGGTTTGCTGGTCTGCAGGGGCTGCTGTGGGCATTTTCTCCCAGCAGCCTTGAGAAATACACCAGTCAGGTGATGTTGTCCTCACTGCCCAGCCCAGAACAGTGAAGCTCTGAGCAGGGCCCTTGCACTGTCAGGTAGGTGGAGGGACTGAAGTTCTGCCATGATGAGGCTGAGCCCCTCCTTTTTGTTTGTTTCATAGTAAGACAGCCCTGCTCGAGGGACTGGAGGTGGACCAGTACATGCTGGGGATCCTTATCTACATCCAGAAGTAATTCCCCTCTTCTCTGGCCCTCTGTCTGTTGTGTCCCTAGCTCCCAGACTGAATGCAGCCTGTGTAGCCTCTTTCCTCAAGAAAGGGCTGCATTCAGGGGACTGGCTACATGTATGTCCTGCTGGACGCCGCACAGTAGCATGCCTGGAATAGGAGCTTGGGTGGGGAGGGCCCACCTGGAGCCTATGGGTGTGGTGGTTAGGAAGATAGGGCCCCTGGTGACTGCTGCCCCCACCCCCAGCTCTGACTACGAGGAGATCACCATCGACCCCACGTGTAGCTGGAAGCCGGTGCCTGTGAAGCCTGACTTGCACCTGAAGGAGGAGCCCGATGGGCCAGTCCTGAAGCGCTGCCGAACTGTGAGCCCGGCCCATGTGCTCATGCCCAGCGTCATGGAGATGATCGCTGCCCTAGGCCCCAGCGCCACCCCCTGCACTCCCCTGCAGGCTGCCTCAGGCCCTGCACCCGCAGACTATCCTAGCCAGGGTGAGTCGAATGTAGGTGGCCCTGGGTGTCCAGCTGTGAGAGCATAGTCGTGAGCAGTAGAGGGCCCCCTGTAGGCCAACACCTGGTTCGTACTCGGGTTCAGCCAGAGCCCACAGGAGGTGCTTGCCTTGTTTATGTCTAGCCGAGTTCTGGGTGATAAGCCTGGGCTGCAGCAGTGAAGGCCAGGCCTCAGGACACAGACAAGACTCAGCCACCAGCTCTGCTCCTCCTATCTTTTCTTCCAATTGGGAATAAGTGGCCATGCACCCCAGGATCTGAAACGCTGTGATCTCTGCATACAGAGTGCATGTGAAGATGGCCGGGGTACTCCTTGTGGGTCCCTATTCCTAGTAAAACTTGAGACCTGCTCCCCTTGTTCTGAGTAGTAGCTTTATCCACAGAGTAGCCACAAGTCCTACCCCACCCGTACCCCACCCCCAGCTGTGTTCTCTTGTCTGCTGTGCTAGACCGAGTCCTTCCTCAGACAACCAAGGAACACCCGGCACGCGGCTGTGCCCTCAAGTGGATCCTGACTGTTTCTTTGCAGGTTCCAGCTTCTTGGGACCAGGGAATTTTACTGAGTCCTTCCCACCCACTACACCCAGCAGCACCCCAACACTTCCTGAGTTCACCCCAGGGCCACCACCCATCTCCTATCAGTCTGACATTCCCAGCAGCCTCCTGACTCCAGAGAAGTCTGTCTCCTGCCTCCCCGGCCAGGTCAGTGCTCCATGTCTGTGGAGTGGGGAAGAGGTGTAGAGAGCCTTGGGCGGGTCTCCCAAGTACTCGTCTCCTTCCTCAGATGGCACCAGCAGGCCACCTGGACCCAGCCCACAATCCTGGGCCACAGGGACTGCACACCTCCAACCTTGGGCCACCCCCTGGGCCACAGCTGCTCCATCAGAATCCTCCCCAGCCATCCCGCCTACCCCTGGGCCAACCAAGCTCAGGTCCTAGCAGTGAGCTGGCCTTTAACCCCACCACTGGTGCGATGGGGCCCACCAGCATGTCTGCAACTGGAGAAGCCCCGGAGCCAGCTCTGGATGTAAGTGCCGAGTCCTCCTTGTCTGCACTACACACTGCAGGGCACATGGGCGCTATGGAGCTGGGGCTAAGACTGTGAAAGCCAGCAGAGGCCCAGGAGAGATAAGTGGCGGCTCCTACCTTTTCAAGCACTAGAGGCCACAAGCTGTGGCTAGAAAGGACCGTGACAACGGATGGAGCGACTGTGTCGTCAAAGGGAACATCAGATAGTTTTAAGCCACGCCTGCTCTTTGATGCCGGTGGTCCTCACTGGAGCCATGTGGGACCAGTGTGGCTCCTGAGTCCTTTATGTCCAGGCACCGCCCTCAGGGACTGAATGTCCTTACCTAGTCTCCTCCCTGCCGAGTCCATTTGTCAGGGTGGGTCCAAGAAGCAGGGCGATCAGGGTGGTGGCGTGGCTGTGCAGAGTGCACGGTGTTCACACAAGCACTTATGTGGTCTGCTTTGTTCTCAGCTGCTGCCAGAACTGACCAACCCCGATGAGCTACTGTCGTACCTGGGCCCGCCGGGCCTGCCCACCAACAGCAATGATGACCTGCTGTCCCTCTTTGAGAACAACTGACCTGTGGTAACCCTGCTCAGCTGGGTTAGGCTGCCTTCGCGCCACCTACCACCCCTTCACATGTGCAGCTGCCTGACCCAAGCCTTGGAAGGGGAAGTGGTCCTGGGGACAGTCGGGGCTGCCAGTGGGGCAGCCAGACCCTTCCCACCCTACCATCAAGGTCCCTGCTATGAAAACGGTTTTGTTGCAGTGCCTGCCCTGGCCCCACCTTGTCCTTCCACCGATGCCTGCTACTGCCCACCCTGCATTTTATCCCAGTGTTGGCCCTTCTGTTGTGATTCCTTCATGACTCGGACAGAGCCCGCCGTCCACCAGGCCTGTGGGCTCCGACGGCTCCTTGGAAGCCTCTGGAAATGGGAGCATCATCTAGAACCACACATACTGGCCTCCTAGAGGGCCAGGCTCTTCGACTCCATCGCATCTATGGTGTCCTGGCCACTCGGCCCCACCCTAAGCTTTCAGGCCAGAGGCATAAGGGTGGGGAGAAAGGGATTCAAGCACAACAGTGTACATAATAGTGTGGAAACACTAAAGGCTGGGGGAAAGCTACATGGAGCCCAGATGCCTGTGTGCTCTCTGCTCCTCTGGGCAGACAGCTGGGGGAGGGACCCAGGCTCCAGTCCTGGTTGGGCGGGTGGGGTCTCTGCTCTCTTTCCAAGTCCCCTTTTCCAAGAAAGTGAAGAATTAGTACCTCCCTGTTTTTTAAAACCATCTTTCCTGAGTCCACCCTGTGGGCTAGAACCCAGGGTGGGGAGCGGAAAGCCATTGCATCCTGTTGGCCTGGGGCCCACGAGCCTGCCTGTGAACCGGGCGCCTGTTGTGTCTCCTGTCTGTATCGACCTCTATTAAAGGACTCCCTTGTGCGGGCTGTGCTTAGTCCTCCTTTGTACTCAGGACAAGGTCCTGCCCTGCAGGGCCCAGGTATGTGCCTTGGGCCCCAATCAGAGAGGGTGTGTGGAGTCAGCAGTCCCACCCAGTTGTGACCGCACCCCCCCCCAACCCCCACACACACGATTGCTCTTGGAACCACGCACATCTCCTGCCCTCCTAGGCAAGACCCAGCTGTTTCTGCTGTGGGATGAATTTCCTTTTCCCGGGAATTTTTTCAAGCTGACTTTAGCTGGTTACTTTCTTTGTGACATGTGGTCAGAGTCCAGGAACCACGCTTGCCCAGGAGAAGACATTGGCCACTCTGTTAGCTCTGAGAAGGGCCCTGAGGCCCATAGGCAACCCCCTGGCCACCTAGCCCTCGAGTCCCCAGGAGCACACCCACCCACCCACCCGTCAGAGTATGAGGTCTAGACTGGGCCTGCTCAGTGGGAGTGATGGAGCACCGGGTGTCAGATGAGTACCCAACACGAGAGACTGCTACAGCAGAAGGCTAGCAGCAGAGGACAATGTGAAGTCCATGGAGATGTCCTGACAAGTTCCAACTAGGTTCCCAAGAGTACAGGCTGCAGGCTGGCCAGATGCATGGGGCTAGCTGAAGAGCAGCCAGACAGGTGTCTCCACCCATCTGCAGCCTGCTTCGGCTCCTGAGACACCAACAAATAAAAGACTGGAAATTGGAGGGACAGGTAATCAGCTGAGGGTTAACTGCTCGAGAGCACTTTGAAAATGCTTGTCAGAAGGGACACCCTATTGCCATGTTCATAAAGCTCCAACCCAAACCTTTGAAGGAAGGCCTTCACCTCCATCCTCTATATACACCCCCTCCCTCCAATCCTGTGCCCAGATCACTCCCAGAACCTACACAGCTGAGGCCCACCACCCCTCCCTACACCACCACCCCACAACAGGGCCTAAGAACCATCACCCAGCCTTCACGTTGAAGTCAGCCTGCAGCTTTCAGCTCCCACGCCTGCCCCTTTAATTCTGCCCACTGTATCTGCTACCTTTAGTCTCTTCATCTGTATCCGTTTCTTATCTTTTCTCCTTCATATATGTATATATTTTAAGAATTCAGGAAAGGCATACAGTACTTCTGGTTTATTTTCTTTATCCACCGTTTTCCCAGTAATCTGAAAGTCTACAGCTTGCTTAGATTCATGCTAAACATTTTTTTTTTTTATAAATAATATATTATCATATTTGGGTATTCTTTTGCTATTATTTCTTTTTTTTTTCCCTTTTTTAACATTTTATTAGGGGCTCATACAACTGTTATCCCAATCCATACACACATCAATTGTGTAAAGCGCATTTGTACATCGTTTCTCAAAACATTTTCTCTCCATTTAAACCCCCGACGTTAGGTCCTCATTTTTCCCCTCCCTCCCGCTAAACATTTCTTAACAGAGTGGTTAAGTTTTCCCAGGCAGACTAAGCTCTGAGGGTAGGGATGAGCTCACACATGTTGGTACATGCTTGCACCTGTTGCTATTTACGTGGGAACGAGTAAAATGCCTCCGAATGAAGAAGCAGAAGCCTCTGACGTCCACCTGCGACACTGAGCATGATCTCCAACTGGTCTGTGAGTGTCTCCCACTAAGGAGCTCTGCTCTGCAGACCCCTGCGTGGGACGGGCAAAAGGTATCTGTAGTGGCTTAAACAGTGTTTCCCCAAAGGCATATCCATCCAGAATCTGGAAATGGACGCCCTAATCCCAACAAGCTCACTAGCGACCATGTAGGGCAGGATAGAACTGCCCCTGTGGTCTTTCCAGGCCGAGAAAGCCTCGTCTTTCTCCTGCAGAGCAGCTGGTGGTTTCGAACTATGAGCTTGCAGTTAGTATCCCAACACATAGCTATGTCGTGAGGGCTCCTTCACACAAATACTGACCTTGTTTGGGAATGCGGTCTTTGCAGATGAAATTAGAACCCTAAGTCCGATAACTGATGTCATTCTATGAAAGGAGATGATACAAAGACACATGAAAGAGGCCGTGGGAAGATGGGGATAGCAATTGGCGTGATGCAAACCAAACACCAGAATTGTCAGAATCTGGAAGAGACAAGAAACAATCTCAGAGCCGCTAGGGAGTACAGCCCTACAGCACCTGACGTCAGACTTCTGCCCTCCAGAGCTGTGAGAAAATACTTTCCTGTTGTAAGCCACCCAGTATGGGGTACTTCTGACAGCAGCTCTAGGACCTTGGACAGTGTCAGTGACCACCTTCTGGTTCCCTGAGGGGACAATTCAGCCGGACAGGAGAATGGTCAGCAGCTCCACAGCCTGGGCGACGGAGATCTGGCTGAAGATAGTAAGACAGATTGCCAGCATCCACAACAACAACGATTTCCTCTCTTTTTCAAGAATAAAAGCCCAACACTTAATTAAGACAAAGATAACGTCCCCGAAAGAGGCTTCATTTCTGCTCTGACTCTGGTCAGACCCCTGCCTGCTGGGTAACAGTATAAGTGGGTGTGCTATCCGCTGACTTCAAGGACACTTCCTTCTCCGTGCTGCTTTTACGCCCACACGCGGGACTGTGACTATGAGCGCGAAAACTGGATCATGAGCGCCTAAATTCTAAAACACCTGGTTTGGGCAGGCTACCGTCTATAGCAGGAACCTCACCTCCATTTGTTTTAAAATAATTTTATTGGGGGCTCGTACAACTCATCACAAACCATTCATCTGTTGAGTCAAGCACTTTTGTACATTTTTGTTTCCCTCATCATTCTCATAACATTTGCTTTCTACTTGAGCCCTTGCTATCAGCTCATTCCCCCTCCCCACGAACCCTTGCTAATTATAAATTATTATTTTGTCATATCTTACACCGTCCGACATTGCCCTTCACTCACTCTGCTATCCATCCCCCAGGGAGGAGGTTACATAGTGATTCTTGTAATCTGTTCCCCATTTCTCCCTCACCTTCCCTCCACCCTCCCGATATCGCCACTCTCACCACTGACTGGTCCTGAGAGTTCATCTGTCCTGGATTCCCTGTGTTTCCAGTTCCTATCTGTACCAGTGTACATCCTCCGGTACAGCCGGACATGTAAGGTAGAATTGGGATCATGATAGTCGGGGGTGGGAAGCATTCAAGAACTAGAGGAAAGTTGTATGTTTCATCATTGCTACACTGCACCCTGACTGGCTCGTCTCCTCCCCACGGCCCTTCTGTAAGGGGATGTCTAATTTCCCACAAATGAGCCCTGGGTCCCCAATCTGTACTCCCCCATTCAAAATGCTATGATTTTGTGTGTGTGTGTGTGTGTGTGTGTGTGTGTCTTTGATGCCTGATCCCTTCGATGCCTTGTGATCTCACAGGCTGGTATGCTTCTTCCATGTGGGCTTTGTTGTTACTCAGCTAGATGGCTGCCTGTTTATCTTCAAGCCTTTAAGACCCCAGACACGGGTACAACAGATCATCAAGGGAATGGAACGGCGAGGTCCCCAGGGAATGCTGAAGGTGAACTTTGGAGCCAGAGCGTGGTGTCCCAACAGACTGGACTGGAAAACACTCCTAAAGGCCAACAAACAATCCTTGAACTAACTATAAGCTTTTCTTTCTTGTTGTGTTTTGTTTGGTTTTATCATTGGTTTGTTGTTGTTTTGTTGTATATTGTTGCTTGGTTTTGCTCTGTCTTGTTTTTGTGCATGTTATTATCTCCGCAGGTCTGTGTAAATAAGATAGGCTGGAGGAACAATCTGGAGGAGAAAACAATGGGATCGGCAGTTCCCGGGGGACATGGGAGAGGAGGAGGTGGGGGGAAAGGTAGTGGTAGTGTTAACAAACCCAGGGACAAGGGAAAAACAAGTGATCCAAATCGGTGCTGAGGAGGATGTGGGAGGCCTGGTAGGGCATGATCAAGGGTAATGTAACAAAGAAGAATTGCTGAAACCCTGGTAGGGACTGAGCATGATAGTGGGCCAGAAGGAAAGTCAAAAGAAATAGAGGGAAGAGCTGGGAGGCAAAGGGCATTTATAGAGGTCTAGATAAAGACATGTATATATGCAAATATATTTATATATGAGGATGGGGAAATAGAGCTATGTGCCTATATTTATAGGTTTAGTATTAAGGTACCAGAAGGACATTGGGCATCCACTCAAGTACTCCCTCAATGCAAGAATACTTTCTTCTATTAAATTGGCATTCTATGATGCTCACCTTTCCGACACAACTGCTGAAGACAAAGTGGGTGAATAAGCAAATGTGGTGAAGAAAGCTGATGGTGCCCAGCTATCAAAAGATATAGCATCTGTGGTCTTAAAAGCTTGAAGGTAAACAAACAGCTATTTAGCTCAGAAGCAACAAAGCCCACATGGAAGAACATATCAGCCTGTGTGATCATGAGGTGCCGAAGGGATCAGTTATCAGGCATCAAAGAACAAAAAAACCATATCATTGTATGCTCACTTCCATGCCCAACTATCAAAAGATATTGTGTCTGGGGTCTTAAAGGCTTGAAGGTAAACAAAAGGCCATGTAGCTCAGAAACAACAAAGCCCACATGGAAGAAGCATACCAGCCTATGCGATCACGAGGTGTCGAAGGTATCAGGTATCAGGCATCATCAGAACAAAAAAATCTTACCATAGTGAATGAGGGGGGCAGTGCAGAGTGGAGACTCAAAGCCCATTTGTAGGCCACTGGACATCCCCTTACAGAAGGGTCTCGGGGAGGAGACGAGCCAGTCAGGGTGCGATACAGCAACGATGAAAAATACAACTTTCCTCTAGTTCCTAAATGCTCCCCCCGACCCCCACTATCATGATCCGAACTCTACCTTGCAAGTCTGGCTAGACCAGAGGGTGTACACTGGTACAGATAGGAACTGGAAACACAGGGAATCCAGGACGATGATCCCTTCAGGACCAGTGGTGTGAGTGGCAATACTGGGAGGGTAGATGGAGGGTGGGTTGGAAAGGGGAGAACCGATTACAAGGATCTACATGTGACCTCCTCCCTGGGGG